TAGCCGTGCCCTGTCTCCTCTAACTTCTTCCTGTGCCTAGCAAACCTGACCGAAAGCCCCCGCTAGCCCAGCACTGGCCCCTCTGACTTCCTTCTATGCCTGGCAATCTTGACCCTCAGCACTCTGCTGGCCTAGCCCTGGCCCTAGGGCAAGCAGCGGCCCTGCTCCACCACCAGAGATTGCTATGGACTGGGAGACTCCCCATGATAACATTTGGGGGTTGTATAACCAAAGCCAAAAACGGATTTTAGGCAGACTGCCTGTGTATTGGTGAGTGATTAATCCTCTGACAGTAATCTCATGGGAGTGACATGACACCATATTCTTTATGGAAAATAACTTACACAAGGTTTACTGAGTACGATTTTCCTAGTTCCTACCTTAGCTGTATTTTGCCCAGGCCTGGTCTATACTTTTCTGCAATTGGGTGTGGCCCTGCCAGGGTGCTTGGCTACTCTTTGAGAGTTTCTGTTCGGAGGCTCTTGGAGATAGTGTATTGGTCATCTGCCCTGGCAGTCACTTCTCCCCAGTTGGTCCCAATAGGCTTTCTCCACTGCATTTTCTATCAGGTTCTTACTGGTCATTATCTCCACCGTACCTCGGTGCAGCCATCTGTTCAAACAGCTATTCAGTCCTAAAACAATCTTAGCACCATTCCTCAGTTGTGCAATCCTTTTAAAAATTTATCCCCCTAACACACTGGTGTCTGAAACCAGACCACTTCATGGGAGGGTGTGGAAGTGACAGCCAATTCTGCTCCAGCCATGGCATCCAGGTGGGCTAGAGGGGATACAGCCACATTGTTCTCATCCTGCCTATCAGCTGCTTATAGGGAGAGAGTGATAGAAATGTAGCCGTGTTAGTCTGCTGTAGCTGAAACAAAGTGCTACATAGTCCTGTTTTTTGTTACAGACCCTATTGGGTACCTCTGATTCAAGATGTCCACACAATGAGTGGTCCGGTGGCACCTAGATACTAACCAAAATACATAGAATCATGAACTTTTATGAGCAAAGCCCAAATCATAAGCTTTCATGGCTGAGTTTTTGCCCACAAAAGCTCACAATTCTATATATTTTGGTTTGTATCCAAGATGCCACAAGACCACTCATTTTTTCGGTAGTCCACAATAAGCCTATCCCCTCTAGGGCTGTTCATGTCTCTCTGTACTCACCTTGCAAAAATCTGTCCTTTGCATGGCTCAGCTCATAAACACTTGCAGGAACAGGACCAAAGCCTTTATTCAAGTGAGCAACAGTTGTGTCCCTTTGCATATTTGCAAACCAAAGACTTTCCTCCACAATGGCCAATATACAGAGTTAAATTCAAGTCAAATATCTTTTAAGGTAACTTCTCTTACCAGTGACTAGGCTGCTGCAATGGGACACAGGGAAGAGCCTGAGCTGATATTCAGAGGTAAGGGGGGTGGAGGTGTCTTTGCCAAATTGAAATTATTTTAAAATACCATGAAAATCTCAGCAGGTGTGTGGGGTTGCCATATGCAGTGCACAGGGTGATTCCTTCCAAACACACCTGGCAGGGAGATTACAACTCCAGTGATGCACAGGGCTCAATATTCTTATCTCACAGGGAAGAGCCTGAGCTGATATTCAGAGGTAAGGGGGGTGGAGGTGTCTTTGCCAAATTGAAATTATTTTAAAATACCATGAAAATCTCAGCAGGTGTGTGGGGTTGCCATATGCAGTGCACAGGGTGATTCCTTCCAAACACACCTGGCAGGGAGATTACAACTCCAGTGATGCACAGGGCTCAATATTCTTATCTACTATTGTCAACTACCACCGGGTTTTGGCACCTGGGGGAGGGGGGGGACGACAAGGTCTTGGGGGAAACAGAGATGCATGCATCCCCCTACCACAGAGGAAATGGGGCACACAGAGCTCATGTAATGAGGGAAAATGGAAAGGAGGTGTACACAGGGCCCTTGGTAGGGATGGTTGAAATAGGTGCATACGGACAGTGGCAGGGAAGCGACGGGGAATAATTGCAAGGAGTCCCTCAAAAAGGGGGATAAGAGTAGCACACAAGGAGCTCAATAGGAGTAAACACGGGAATGGAGAAATGAAAAGAAGCTCTGGTATGTGCAATATACTCAGCCGCCACAGGCTACAAAGTATGTGACCTCTGAAATTAAGTCAGAAAGAGTTATCAAAATGTAAACAGGAAGATTACAGGGCATGTAACAGGACTGTGAAGAACATTCCCTCAGGGAAATAAGAACAACTGAGGAAACTACAGACCAGTTAGTTTAACTTCTGTGCCAGGGAAGATAATGGAGCAAGTAATTAAGGAAATCATCTGCAAACACTTGGAAGGTGGCAAGGTAATAAGGAACAGCCAGCATGGATTTGTAAAGAATAAATCATGTCAAACCAATCTGATAGCTTTCTTTGATAGGATAACGAGTCTTGTGGATAAGGGAGAAGAGGTGGATGTGGTATCCCTAGACTTTAGTAAGGCGTTTGATACGGTCTCGCATGATATTCTTATCAATAACTAGGCAAATACAACTTAGATGGGGCTACTATAAGGTGGGTACATAACTGGCTGGATAACCGTACACAGAGAGTAGTTATTAATAGTTCACAATCTTGCTGGAAAGGTGTAACAAGTGGGGTTCCACAGAGTTCTGTTTTGGGACCGGCTCTGTTCAATATCTTCATCAATGATTTAGATATTGGCATAGAAAGTACGCTTATTAAGTTTGCAGATGATACCAAACTGGGAGGGGTTGTGACTGCTCTGGAGGACAGGGTCATAATTCAAATGATCTGGACAAATTGGAGAAATGGTCTGAGGTAAACAGAATGAAGTTTAATAAGGAGAAATGTAAGTGCTCCACTTAGGAAGGAACAATCAGTTTCACACATACAGAATGGGAGGCAACTATCCAGGAAGGAGTACTGCAGAAAGGGATCTAGGGGTTATAGTGGACCACAAGCTGAATATAAGTCAGCCGTGTGATGCTGTTGCAAAGAAAGCAAACATGATTCTGGGATGCATTAAGAGGTGTGTTGTGAGCAAGACACGAGAAGTCATTCTTCCACTCTACTCTGCGCTGGTTAGGCCTCAGTTGGAGTACTGTGTCCAGTTCTGGGCACCGCATTTCAAGAAAGATGTAGAAAAATTGGAGAGGGTCCAGAGAAGAGCAACAAGAATTATTAAAGGTCTAGAGAACATGACCTATGAAGGAAGGTTGAAAGAATTGGGTTTGTTTAGTTTAGAAAAGAGAAAACTAAGGGAGGTATCTAAAAGGTATCTAAAAGGGTGTCATAAGCAGGAGGGAGAAAACTTGTACATCTTGGCCTCTGAGGATAGAACAAAAAGCAATGGGCTTAAACTACAGCAAGGGAGGTTTAGTTTGGATATTAGGAAAAAGTTCCTAACTGTCAGGGTAGTTAAACACTGGAATAAATTGCCCAGGGAGGTTGTGGAATCCCCATCTCTGGAGATATTTAAGAGTAGGTTAGATAAATGTCTATCAGGGATGGTTTAGACGGTTTTTGGTCCTGCCATGCGGGCAGGGGACTGGACTCGATGACCTCTCGAGGTCCCTTCCAGTCCTAGTATTCTATGATTCTATGGTGCCAGACGCATCGCCATGGATGATGGGCGATAGCATTTGGGAATGTTACTTTTCACAATAAAAGACAGTGGAAAATTTAGAGACAACCTGGGGTGAGCTTTCTCATGAAAAAAACTGGTCAAATAGAAGATATTACCTGACCCATCTTGTCTCGCTAATATCTTGGAACTGATATGACTAAAGTTACACTGCATACAACCCAGGAAAATTTGAAACATAGTATCACCACTAATCTCTGGTATTCAAGTCAGTCATTTTGATAATTTTAAGCACTGGGTTTCCTTTGGAGACAGGCAAGTCTAATCACAATGCTAGAAATGATGTGACCTAATTCTAGAAGAATATGATTCCACAATACAGAATTCCTGGAAATACTGATTAACAAAAAGACCTCACTAAGTAAAATCTTTCCAATATCATATGTATACATCTTTTACAATATAATGAAAGACCTCAAACACCAATTGCCTACAAACACAGTAAGCTAAGCAATAAAGATCAAAATTTTTAATTTAATATCGATAATAAAAATAATTCCATGAATTCTGTAAACAATTGCATAAATGCTATATATAGTGTAAAAAAGGTTTTAACAAATGTTAACAATAACTACAAGTAAATGATTATGCATTATAAATACTTTCTCAGTTAAGAACATTTCTATTCACAATACCATTTCTTGTTATACACTCAGAACATTAATGGGTTCCATAAATTAAAGTGAAAATTCCATATCCATTTAAGGTCTTATGTCAACCACAGTTACACAAATATATTGTGACAATAAAAATATTAATATTAATATTTAACATTAGGATATTTTGAATAGCAATACATAACAAAACATGTTTTTAATAATCTGCTATTAAAAAGATTAATTTTAACAAACCCATAAGATGAAGTTTGGGATCTGAATTTAACAAAACTTTCTGTTAAATTACAATTCTTGACTTTAAAACCCTGAGAAACTGTAATTTTCACCTATGACACACAGGTCATTATGAGAAGTTAATGGCATTCACATACAAAAAGTATTATACTTTTCTGTAAACTTACATGATAGCCTGACCAAGTTATTTCAAACTCAAGAATGAAACTATTACATTAGTGTATTTTACCTTTATATAATTTGCTCATCTGACATATTACAATATTATATTCTCTCTCAAATATATATTTTAGTGCATCTAGATAGTATTTGCATCACCAGGACAAAAATTCACAAATGTAAATATATTCCTTTTAATTTTTTTAATTAAAGTAGAATTGTTAATTTATGCTCCATATATTTCATTATCCTGGATTTAGAAATACCACTATAAAGGTGTATCCAATCATTCTTAATTTATAAGTAGCTTAAGTTAACCTGTAAAAAGCTAATAATACCTTGCTGAAAATAATTATAGCATACTAAATGTGGTTCATGTAACTACCTAACCATATTTGGATAAGGGAACAAATAACAAGCAGTTCACTCTAAGAATTTCACTCATAGGTAACATTTCTTTGGTCTATCTTCTTCCTTCAAGATTCAAATTTAGAACTGTCCAAAAACCAACTCAGCTGTTCTCAGGATAAAATTAATTTTTACACACAGCTATGTAATCATTCTCAACATTAATTATGTCACATACAAACCTAACAAATGGTAAAGTTTACCCAATAATTAGTTGAGTTTATCTAAAAAGACAATATGTGCAAACTGTGTACATTAATTTGACAATTTGCTCTGTTTTTTATGTTAAAACTTGTTTCTAAATCAAAAAGCATCAACCAGAGATTTAAAAAAACCTCCTATTATTACAAAAAGTAAAGACCAAAGAAAAGATCCTAGAATGACACACAAATGCACAATAATATATAACTATAAACTGTGGCAGTAGCACAAAGATATTTAAACATTTCTTAATGAAATGAATATTGACACACATGACCACATTTCAATCTAATTTGGATTTATTTCACTAAAATCTAGAAAGAATATTAGTTAACTCTGGTAGCAAAGAGATAGAAAATGTAATAAACCACTGTCTTATAACAGCTGCATGTTCTAAAACATTTAAAATAATTTAATTCTACAATACATCCGTTTCTAATTTGGTCACTGATAAAAATTTCTTACCCACTCAATTTATTTTAGTCAAAAAAATGTTCAAAAAAACCCTTCTTTGGCAAAGACTATACTAGTGTAGAAGTCCATTAATACTCACAGCAAAGCTTAGTGATTAAAGTATCACTTAAAATAAACCTAAACTTGTTCTACTTCTATGATAAAAGAAAATATTTTTTCAGGTAAGAGAAACATATTGCTGAAAATGAAATTATAGTAAAAAAGTTCACAATTATGTGAAAAATGTATCAGGACATACAATGAAACATAACTTTAAAGCCTGTTTAAAAATGTTCTTCAGTTATCTTCAGACTATTGTACTTGTAAATAACTTTTTAAGAGCTCCTGTTCAAAATGTAAATCATTTATAGGTTTTATGTTCCCTCCCTCACTCTCAAAAGATCTAGTCCAAAGTTCACATAATTCAATGTAGGCACACTGACTTAAGGTGGGCTTGGATCGGTCTCTGAATTCTTTAAACACTAATGCAAATCTCAGAGATATTTTTTCAAGATGATAAATACAATTTACAACATACAGTAAAAGCTTTGTGACCCAGCACACTGTTAAATGGAAAGCACTATCAACCAGCACTGACCCCAGCTGTTTAAGAAAGTTTGAATTTAACAGAGTGCCAGATGGGCTGCTGGCCCCACTACTGGGGAGAAAGCTTCCTTTTCCCCTAGAAAGGAGCCAGCAAGGGCTGCTTTGATTTCAAGTACATTCAGTTAACCAGCAAACGCTGTTTCCCCTGAGTGCCAGATAACAAATCTTTCACTGTATCTTGTTTCTATTTCAACATATCTGAACAAACTTCAGAAATAATTAAACTATGCTAGTCATATGAATGAACTTCTTGTGCATTAATGTATTAATTAATAGGAATATGCACATATTTAACACAGTGGTAGGTCATTTGGATGTAATTGTGTCATACCTTAAGTTGTACTTGTGTCCTACCTGTATTTATCAGGACAGAAAAGTAACACCACAGGTAATTCTTCCTACAAGAACAGTTAACTTTAAGGAAAGTAACAAGAGACAGTGTTAAGATACAATAATTAACTTCTCTTATATTGTGTACTCCTAACCATCAGCATTAAATATGGACATCAATAACTTTAAAAAAGATCATTACAAGAAAGCACCATTATCTAATAAAATATTGAAATAAATTCAGAGCTAAAACCAAAGGTGTATTGTATTTATGTAAAACAAAACCTACTATCTTTCATCCATTACAAAGTATTATTTTGAGAATTATCCAATTGTCCTGTACAGAATTAGGTGGTACAAACTATTTGCAAACTCTTTTGCAATTGTATTAGGTGCAAGACACAGGCACTTGGTAAAATTGGATATGGATTATATCAATTAATGATAGGTCATCAAATAGATTAGGAGTTATACAAATGTTTTCACCAATACTACAAAAATCCAATTTGGGCAATGTGCAAAAACATAGTTTTGTTTAAGAAAACTGGTTTGTTTCACAAAATAAAAGAGTATTTGAATACTTACTCATGTATGTCTCTTTCAACCTCTCTCTCTGCTAGTATACTTATAAATGTTATTAGCCTGCAGTTGACAAACTATAAAAATTCTAGGCAAGTTCTCATTTTTATGTAACTATTCATTTAGTAAGTACTAAAGCAAAAAATGAAATTTACCATACATATTCACCATACTATGATTTAACAGTAAAACTGATATAAATATTTTAAGTTCACAGTACACACACAAGACATCATACCACATATTAAAAAAATAGCCATTAAAAACCTAGAAAGTAGGTTAAAGCAATTTATCATCTCTAGCAAAAAAAGTGAAGTGCTTTTACAGGAATTAAATTTCTTCAAATAACCAAGTAAACAGTAGTGTTAGACTGCTTCAAAAATACTGGCACCGGATTACAACACACCATAAATATGGTGAAGGGTAAGGTCCTCTCATCAACAAATATTGTATTTACAGTTATAATGTTAGTGGGATACACAGGCATAAATCCCCCATTCAGCACTGTGAGTACCCACCTGTAAGAAGTGATTATGCTGTAAGTGAACCTGAGTAGCTTGTGCACCAGGAATGTAAGTGGAAAACTGAAAAGAGTAGGTAGGGAAAAAATAACCATGGAACTTTAGAATGTCATTAATAAAATTCAGTACATAATGTCAGCCAGACAACACTTCCTGTAGTAAAAACAACTAAAATATCATACAAGGTCAAAACAGAAATCAGTCTAGTATTAATACATGGAATACAATTCTTATATAAAATGCCAGAACATAAAATAGCTTTAGTTCATTAACATAATTATAAGAACCATTACTTTGTCACCATTTCTTTTTTTTTGTCTTGCAGCAAGGACATTTTTGTTGTTTAGCTGCACAGTGTTCACAAAGTACGTAATGTTGACATGGCTGCAGGATTACAGTACGGTCACGTTCTTGGCATACAATACACTTATTTGAATGACGTTGGAAAATTACCTGTAAAAAGAAAATTGCTCTCAATAAAAATCCCAATGTGTAATGTTTCTCAGAGGATCCTGTATTATTTGATTATCAATATTTACTTCAATGATACCTAAGAATCTTTTATTGGTGAAATTAATGGCTAGTTCAAGCACCAGAACATCATAAACAGAACTAAGAATAGCCCATAAAGCTATAATGTATTCAGAATGGAACACAAGTGCAAAACAAACTGCAGCTCAAATTTTCCCCAGAAACACCAAAACCTAGATGAGTGATGCCAACTTAAACTCAGATCAGGTCTATGCTATAGATTTGTTGGTATAACTATGTCACTCAAGATGTGAAAAACCCACATCCCTGGGCAACGTAGTTATACTGATCTAACCACACCCTACAAATAGTCCTATGTTGACAGAAGAGCTTCTCCTGTTCCTGTAACTACAGGTTGAACCTCTCTAGTCCAGAATTCTCTGGCCTGGACACATCCGTTGTCCAGAATGATTTTCGTTAGCCAGATGTTTACTTTTCATGTGTGCGGCCAAGTTTCTCACAGTCACAAAGTTTGTTTACAAATACCAATCCTTCCTCTTAGTCCAGAATTCTCTGGCCTGGAAACATTCACTGTCCAAAATTATTTTAGTTAGCCAGATGTCCTCTTTTCATGGCTGTGGCCAAGTTTCCCACGGTCCCATAAAGTTTACAGCCACCAGTCCTAGCTTTCAGTGTTCTGTACTGTTATTTAGCTCTAATTCACCCCTAAATGTCGTCTAACATCTCAGTAAGAAGTGGAAGTGTCAATAATGCTGTTAGACAATACTGTCCTCCCATGGTCCGGAAAATTCTCTGGTTCGGAACTGGTCAGGCTCTGAGGGTGTCGAACTAGACAGGTTCAACCTGTACTGTCTCTTGTGGACTTGGATTAACTACACTGATGGGAGATGCTCTCTGAAGCCTGGTCTATGCTGTGTGGAAATGTTGAAGTAAGGTACACAATTCCAGCTACATAAATTACATAGCTGGAGTCAATGTATCTTAAATCCCTGTCCACAAAGTGGGACGTCAATGGGAGCAAATGCTCCCATCAGCTTCCCTTAAGTCTTTGCAAGAAGTAGGAATACCAGTGCCAATGGGGGCACTCTTTGAGTGCGATCTAGCAGGTCTATACTACACCTGCTAAATCAAACCCTGGAAGATCGACTGTGGCAGCATCGATTTTCTGGGTACTGTAGATGTGCCCTCATTGGCACAGGAGTGTCTTCACTAGAGCTGCACTGCTATACTGCTGTACATGAAAACAAGCTCTAAAACAGAGAACTGAACATCAGTCCTTTTGAGACATTCATAGAATCCTAAAATCTTAGGGCTGGAAAAGACCTCAGGAGGTCATCGAGTCCAGCCCCCTGCCCAAAGCAGAACCAACCCCAACTCTATCGTCCCAGCCAGTTATGGTGGTCTGTCACTGTGAACACTAACAATTCCTTCTGGTATATTTCCTCACAAGGCAAATAATTTGCATCAGTCAGAGTGGGAGACTTCCCAGGTATACTTCATTCAGTAAAAATCTACTGAAGACTCGTGAAAGCTGTTATTTAGGCAAATATGTTTGCTACAGCTCAAAAGGATAAAAAATTAAATCTTTGACCTAAATGTTCTATAGAACTCCAATTGTCTTCGATATCACTACGCTGATTGCAGATCATCATCATAACAAGTTGAGCTGTGATCCTGAACTTGGGGAAGAGTATGCTTACGAGCCACTGTATTTATAATCTTTTGGTCTTGATTATCAAGTACTGCTAACCCATAGAGAGCACTCTAAGAACAATACTCTTCTTCCTCAAAACCCTCTGGAAACTTTGCTTCCATTAACATCCGATACAACACCATAAAAACCCCTCTTATCTAGCTTTTACGAGTACTGGCATGTTTTGCTGAACTTGTCTTCTCCTTCCACTCAGCCTCTGGCAATTGAAGGTTTAGGGACAACTGGAGTATTGGGTTGCATTCCTGTCCATGCTGGCTAATAGCCATTTATGGACCTATCCTCAATAATTTTTTAGCCCAATTATGCTCTTGACCTTCACATCCCATGGAATGAATTCCACAAGTTGGCAATAAATATACACTTCCTTATTCATTTCCATGGCACCATTTGTGATTTATAGACCGCTATCAAACCGTCCCCCCAAACTCATCTCTTTTCTAAGATGAATAGTCCCAGTCTTTTTAATCTCGCCTCCTATGGAAGCTGTCCTTGAATGTTTTTGGTTGCCTTTTTCTTTAGCTTTTTCCAGTTCTTACATATCTTTTTTGAGATGGGGAAACCAGAAGTAATCCAGGTGTGAGCATACCATGAATATATATAATGGAATGATATTTTCATATTATTAAGGTTAAGAGTCTGTCACAAGTATTTTTAGTAAAAGTCAGGGGCAGGTTATGGACAATAAATAAAGCATTCACAGAAGCCTATAATCTGTTTGCGACTTTTACCAAAAATGTCCTGTAGGGGCAGGGACTAACAATTTGAGTGCTGCCAGGGTCTGACCTCCAGCAACTGATCAAACCCCATCAGAGCTCCTGTCCCAAAGGGAATGACCAACCCTAAGCTGCTACTTTAGCCACTGACTGCAATTGACAGTCCTGCCACTGAGAAAGAAGTCATGGAGATCCCAGAAAGACAAGGAATCAATGACTTTTGTTATAGAATCATACCCTTACTTATTATCTATTCCTTTCTCCCCTTCCCTTCTCCTATTTATTTTGAGTTTTCATATCCCCTACTCATAACTCTGGTCATCTGAAGAAGTGGGCTGTGCCCACGAAAACTCATGATACTATCTACATGTTTTGTTAGTCTATAAAGTGCTACCAGACCATTTGTTGTTTTTTTCCTAATAGTGTTAGGTTTTTTTTTAGGTGATGCTGATATTTAAAAAGGGCTCTAGACGTGATCCTGGCAATTACAGACCAGTAAATCTAATGTCAGTACCGGAGAAATTAATTGAAACTATAGTAAAGAATAAAATTGTCAGACATACAGATGGACATAATTTGTTGGGGAAAGTAAACATGGTTTCTGTAAAGGGAAATCATACCTTTACTAATCTGCTAGGCTATGTCTACACTAGTGGACTGGTGCAAGAAGTCTTGCGCAAGAAGACATCCACACTGCCATGTCTGAGATGTGTTTTTGCACAAGAGCGCCCATGGCAGTATGGACGCTCTCTTGCGCATGAAAGCACCAATGGCCATTTTAGCCATAGGGCTTTTTTGCACAAGAGCGCCCATGGCAGTATGGACGCTCTCTTGCGCATGAAAGCACCAATGGCCATTTTAGCCATAGGGCTTTTTTGCACAAGAGCGCCCATGGCAGTATGGACGCTCTCTTGCGCATGAAAGCACCAATGGCCATTTTAGCCATAGGGCTTTTTTGCACAAGAGCGCCCATGGCAGTATGGACGCTCTCTTGCGCATGAAAGCACCAATGGCCATTTTAGCCATAGGGCTTTTTTGCACAAGAGCGCCCATGGCAGTATGGACGCTTGTGGACAAGGGGGATCCAGTGGATAGGGTATACTTAGATTTCTAAAAAGCCTTTCAGAAGGTCCCTCACCAAAGGCTTGTAAAGTAAGTTGTCATGGGATAAGAGGGAAGGTCATTTCGTGGACTGATAACTGGTTAAAAGACAGGAAACAAAGGGTAGGAATACATGGTAAGTTTTCAGAGTGGGGAGAGAGGTAAACTAGTGGGATCCCCCAAGGGTCTGCCCTGGGATCAATCCTATTCAACTTATTTATAAATGATCTAGAGAAAGGGGTAAACAGTGAAGTGGCAAAATTTGCAGATTATACCAAATTGCTCAAGATAATTAAGACCAAAGCAGACTGTGAAGAACTTCACAAAGATCTCACAAAAATACATGATTGGGCAGCAAAATGGCAATTTAATGTGGATAAATGTAAAGTAATGCACATTGGAAAAATAATCCTCACTATACATACAATATGATGGGGACTCATTTGGCAACAACTACTCAAGATCTTGGAGTCATTGTGCATAGTTCTTTGAAAACATACATTCAGTGAGCAGCAGCAATCAAAAAAGCTAATAGAATGTTAAGAATCATTAAAAAAGGGCTAGAGAATGAGACAGCAAATATCTTATTGCCTCTATATAAAACCATAGTACACCCACACTTTGAATACTGCGTCTAGATGTGGTCACCTCATCTCAAAAAAGATATATTGGCATTGAAAAAGGTTCAGAAAAAGGCAACAAAAATTATTAGGGGTTTGGAACGGGTCCCATATGAAGAAAGATTAAGATTAAGGTGACTTGGACTTTTCAGCTGAGAAAAGAGGAGACTAAGGGGGATATGATAGAGGTCTTATTCCCACAATCTAAGAACTAGGGGTCACCAAATGAAATTAATAGGCAGCAGGTTTAAAACAAACAATAGGAATTTTTTCTTCATTCAGCGCAGTCAATCTCTCCAATTCCTTGCCAGAGGACACGGTAAAGGCTAGGACTTTAATGGGGTTCAAAAAATTGCTAGATAGATTCATGGAGGTTAGGTCCATTAATGGCTATTAGTCAGGATGGGTAGAAATGATGTCCCTAGCCTCTGTTTATCTGGAAATGGGTGACAGTGGAGGGATCACATGAGGATTACCTGTTGTGTTCCCTCCCTCTGGGGAATCTGGTATTGGCTACTGTCAGAAGGCAGCATACTGGGCTAGATGAACCGTTGGTCTGACCCAGTATGGCCGTTCTTTTGGTTTTTTTTTTTTTTTTTAACTGCTGCTGCACATTGAGCAGATGTTTTTAGAGAGCTATCCATAGTTCAAATATCCATGGATCCAAGATCTCTTTTTTGAGTGGTAATAGATATTTTAGATCCTATCATGTTGTATGCACAGTTGTGATTATGTTTTCCAATGCCCATTACTTTGTACTTAACACTGAATTTTACCTGCCATTTTGTAACCCAGTTAGTTTACTGAAATCCCTTTGAAACTCTTCACTGTCAGCTTTGGACTTAACTATCTTGAGTAATTTTAAGTTGTCTGCAAATTTTGTCACCTTACTGTTCACCTTGGCTACGTCTAGACTGGCATGATTTTCCGCAAATGCTTTCAACGGAAAAGTTTTTCTGTTAAAAGCATTTGCGGAAAAGAGCGTCTAGATTGGCACGGATGCTTTTCCGCGAAAGCACTTTTTGCGGAAAAGCGTCCGTGCCAATCTAGACGCGGTTTTGCACAAGAAAGCCCTGGTCGCCATTTTTGCAATTGGGGCTTTTTTGCGCAAAACAATACCGCGTTGTCTACACTGGCCCTCTTGCGCAAAAGTATTTGCGCAAGAGGGCTTTTGCCTGAACGGGAGCAGCATAGCATTTCCGCAAGAACGCTGACAATCTTACATGAGATCGTCAGTTTTCTTGCGGAAATTCAGGCGGCCAGTGTAGACAGCTGGCAAGTTTTTCCGCAAAAGCAGCTGCTTTTGTGGAAAAACTTGCCAGTCTAGATGCAGCCCTTGTGTGCCAGATCATTTATGAATACATTTAACAGCACAGGTCCAGGTACAGGCTGAATCCCCTTAGATTAAAAGAATTCTAAATTATTGAAAAAGGAAATCATGCCTCACCAAAT